AGATATTTGTTCATGTCTAGCCCAATCACCAAAAGGCATTTCGGGCTTAACCTTTGCACTTTGTTAGTCCTTGCACTTAAAGGGGGAGGGGGTCGCACAGACTTCTGTCCTCGACTTTTCGCATACTAACTCAAGCAAAACGTGGCGGATCACGACGAAACTTTCTATACATTCGATTCGATCAATGTTACTCACACACTTAAAATTTCATGACCTTGACCTTAAAAAAAAATTGACCTTTGACCTGTTTCACCAGACCATGTCAGGCTGGTATCGATTTGGCGCTTATCAGCGCACATTATCGGCGCGTTTTCAGTCTTGCTGTGGTTGTTAACTCTCCAAGGCATGAAATGCTGTTTGTTCTTTGCATTTTAAGGTCACGTTAAGGTCAAATCAAGATCATTTACCTTAGATGACCTTAGTTGACTTTTTCAAGTTATACGATTTTTCTAGATAAGTGCTTGGAGCTTATTTCGAACTTAACACCCATTTGAAGATTTAAGTAGTTTTGGTGCCTAACGGAACATGCTATACGAAGCCGTCAAAGGTAATCGACGCCTACCTTCTATGGATAGCCGGCAAGACACCTACTGGTCGGGCCTGACCTGACCCGGCCTAGCATGAAAACATCATCCTTGATCAAAACTAGCTTGAAATTCGTGATTAGCACCCCAAAAACCTCCAACCTCACTTTACAAAGTTACAGCATTTTTCGATTTACCTATATCAAAGCTCTGTTCTGAAGTTCAATAAGGTGAACATTGGCGGCGATAGCCAATAAAATGGACGCAGCGTTGCAAGGGTGTTGTTGTTTTGTTCAAAAAGAACATTTGGCGAAAGAAAAATAATGTCAACATGGTATCACCCCTTTCCTCCCTCCTCCCAACTCCTATACTGACCGGAAACCCCCAGGCGGTGTGCTGCGGTCGGTAACCCGCCGCGGCGCGGCCCGGCGCGGCGTAAGAAACCACGCGGCACCGTCTGCTTTGACGTCTCATAGTGACTGGTTTAGGCAAATTTCGGCAAAAAATGAGAGCTGCCCCCGATGCAGAAATTATTGGAGAACATTTTGATATACATTTCCACGCGTAACACCGCGTATCAAACTTTGTAAGGCAATAGTTCGCTTGTCAACTCTCTGAACCAAGAAGCATTTTAACATCTTAAGCTTTTCGGTCAAAAATTATACATTTGGATGAATTTTGGAAATTTTCGTGCATACCATCATCTTTCTTATAAGTCAAAGATAATGAATGTGGTCGCCGCGCTCTATCGTTTCCTTTTTTCCTTCCGTTCCCTTATCTTTTGTTCCAATATGATTTGTCCGTAGTTCACCGTGCGCCTTTCTGGCTCGACGCCAACTTGGCCGGCTACCCGAGCTTGTAAATGTGACCACTGCCGATAGATGCCGCTAATGATTAACCGCGAGTGACCTGAGAAGTAGTGCCGTCCGACACAATATAGCATAAGCGTTTTTATATGTATCTGTAATTGCAATTGCTTAAAGTTGATTGTTTCGGATGCTTATTTATTCAACAATATTTCCAACACTGTTATAAGTATCCCGATGTTGTGCGATTTACTTTCGAGCTGCCACGTCATGTGTTCGTGCGCGGGGCGTGTCGCAGTGACCGGCGACTGGGTCGCGGCGCCATTGCTGGTCGAGAGGCGATAAGCGTGTGACGTTGTGTGCTGTGCTCCGTCGCAATTGATGGTGAGTTGAGAGACCTGAAATTGATATTGTTCTTTTATTTACGTCGGCATGAAATATGTGATATTCAGTTCAGTGTTATTGGCGCAGATACCTGAGAAAACTTATTGACCTGTTCTAGGTATGATTCGATGGTGACCGTCGTGTCAGGAGCGAGCCGCGTGGAATGTCCCGCAGGAGGCGTTACCCGTCGGTATGTAACGAATGATATTGGTCCCTGGCACATTGAAATGTTATTGCTGAACCCATTTACTATCGGATTTGCAAGCTGAAGTTAGATGTTAATTATCGGGAGAATTGCCGCCTGTTCGGATTATGTGAGGGGATTGGCGCACGGTGACGTAATTTGTTTCGTTAGTTTTATTGTGTTATTTGCTTTTGTTGTCGCCCGCGTTATGTGCATGTTTTGCTGTTTTCGTTGCATTAATTTTCGTACTGTTTGTTTCTACAGAAACGACCAAATACAGGCCAGTTACGGCTGAGCGCCGTTTGTATGGGAGCGGGTACCGCGGCTACAATGAAAACATGTCGCAACTATAACCTGCTGTTCAGGGAAACGAGTGAGAGGGCGTTTTATTGTAGTGTGCTTTTTCGCTGTATGCAGGTAGCACGACGCTGGTCAGGACGAAGCTACACTTTGAGAGGTTTTTTGAGGCATAAACAATCATTTTACAGACGATTTAAGGTGTGATTCGGATGCGCTGGACAATTCTACGTGGAATGAATAACAAAAAAGTGGAAATCGAAATACTTTAACTTGCCACTTAATGCGTGCTAGGATGGCCTAAGTCCCCACGGTGAGCTGGGACGGCTGAGAGCCGCGGCGGAGAGGGAGGGAGGGACGGCTTAACATCGGGACAGGAGGGTTTGTGGGGATAGACGGACAGCGTGAGATAGTCTGCTATACAAACGGGCTGGCACATGTGACAGTGGGGATAATCTGACAGACAGGCGCGTCACGGGTGACAGCTAGAACCGATGACGGGCAGATGAATGCGTCACGAATGAAATAGGATATGACGTCTTGTGAAGGCCCGATTCGTATTAGTGCAACACAGTCACAGTCAGACGTAAATACACACAGAGACTAGCAAGACACAAACATTTCCATACACTCTCGAATCCCGGCACTACCGTTAAAATAGGACAGAATAGTGATGTGGCTGAGTGTAGCCCGAGGTTAAAATAGGACAGAATTGTTACAACTAAGTGTAGCCGGAGGACACCAATGAGGAACTGGTCCGTGGCAAAACCTCACGTTCAAATGACACAAACGGGCATTCACTGAATATAGGCCGCTACACGAAACCACACTCGAGCCGATAATGACGGCCGATGGCAGTCAGTGAGCCCACATAACGGCCGTATACAAACCACTAGATAATGAAACTTTACGTTTCATGAATCGTCTATTTTTAGTGTAACTTGCCATTTCATGAAACGTCTCTTTTACCTGACATCACAAAATCCGAAAAAAACACGCAACTAAGATGCAGAGTGCAGACGGATGGTCACTGTCTATTGTCGGACGACGTTCAAAGCGTTACATGCAGTGCTCATATGGCATAACATGCATAGGTACTCACATCCGAAGTAGATGCCGGCCGCGCATCCGAGGCCAATCATGAGCACGGTGAACACGATACAGAACACGGCCAGCTTGGAGCAGCCGCGCTCGCGCATAAACTTGATCTCGGACGGAGACGTGGAGGTGGATGAAGTGGATGAGCGAGACCACGACGGCAGCGGCTTCTTCTGCTCCTGAGGGCATGCACAGAGAGGGGGAGGGTTAACTACTTAGGGGAAGTTGGGGCAATGCCGGAGTTGGGGCAAAGCCGAAATTCGAGATATTTCGAAAACCGTAAGACATGGATGCCATCTGTCAGTGATGCTCTGAAGCTTAAGTGACTACAATTATCGCATGTTTGTTACGAGTCGTCATTCGGAATACTTCGACTGTGAGGGCGCCAAGAGCGTTTTCAAGGTACGTTTCCCTTGTACTACATGCGCCTTTAAAGCTGCATTTCTTGCTCATTATGCTACCGTTTGTCTGGCCAATTCGGTCAAGTAATCTTTAGCATGTCTTTGCATAAGTGTGCTGCCTATTTGAAATTTATACAGCACGTTGAAAAGTTATGGGCCTGCAAATGAAAGTATGGCAGGCTGGGGTAATGCCGAAAACGTGCGATTACGCACGTGTTGAAAGCACGCTACGTGGACTTTACTGCTGTAGAATAGCAACGCGTATTTTTAGTCACACAAATTACACTTTCAACCGACACAACGGCCTGTTACCTATAAGGAATGATTTACCTGGCATGTTCTTATTATATCACACAATTATAACTTCCAGTGTGCACCGCGTCCTCAAGCTCTTAAAACGCGTGTCAGCTTTGATCAATTCTGGATAAAGTTTGAGATAAAATGGCAAAACATCAATGTCGGCATTCCCCGTAGATCATTTCTCCCATTTTCGGCTTTCCCCGCAGTCCGGGGCAACGCCGAAAAAGTCACTTCTTTGATATTTTTAGTTTGTGCGCTTAACGGTATGCGAATTCATCAAATGCGCCTGGTATGTTTGAAAGGCAAAAGACTGGCCTCTCGAATGACGCCAACAAGAATAGCTTATGTTGTCTACCTTGCGTGCTACGGGCGTCAGAAAAAAAGTCTTCGGCGTTCCCCCAACTTCCCCTACATCGAGAGAGTCACACACTGGGTGTAGGGGCGGTCATGCCGACTCGGGAGCGGGGCGATTGGCTGGGGTCGGCTCTGATGAAAGAAGGTCGCTCAGGTGCGGCCAGAAGCCGCACAGCTCGTGCTCAGAGGCGGACAATACGGCAGCTGGTGCTTTGTAATAAGGTGATGATCGTTCCACGCGTGAGTCAATTTGAAATAGCTTAGAAACCATAGGTCACATCGCTACGGTACAATTTATTGGATTATGGGCGTTCACGGTGGCTGATTGCTATTATTGTGTACTGAACTCTTTACGCTGCCCCACATCATCTTTCACAAACAATAGAAGGATTTTCTCACGCTGGAGGACCATGGCTTGGTGTCCATCACATTCATCACTTATCATTGTGTGAAACAACAGAGAAGAAAGCAGTTTATCTTGGTTCGCAAACTGCGTCGTGACTGTACACAATGTTTCTGGTCGGATTTTTGACCAGCCCGCGAAGTTTGTGATGGGGATTGGGGAGTGTCATCAATGGGTGTGTATGCCAGACTGACCGCAAGGTCATTCCAAGTCCGCCTGGTGACACATTTGATGATGCATTGTGTAACCGCGAGTGTCGCGGGCCGTATATTTTGGTTGCCTCCTCCTCCGTCGGCGAAAGGCATTAGCGGCGCGGTGGAGGCAAAGAGTTCGGCCGCGTGGCGGCGTCACGAACGTTCCGCATTGTTTGGATGAATTGAAAGGCAGAAAGGCGCAAACGATGTAAGTTGGTTGAAATGATTAATTTTTGCTATGTACTGTGCAATGAGTTAATGGCTGACTTCATTCTAAACGATTTAACGACTGTTTCATACGATTTTCTGTTCGTTTCAGAATTTACGGCATAATACAGCTATGTCACAGAACCGCATTATTAGATGGCTGTAACAGTAAATTATCGTAGTCTAGCCACGAATAGCAAATTTCATATGATCTGTATTGATCGGGTTACCATGATTTCCTGAATTGCTGACTTGACCTGTACTAACACAACCTACATGAACTGATTTTACCTGACCAATTCTACGCAACTCCGAATTGTCACTTGTAGTTGTAGATGTATGATATCGTCTCCTCTGTCACCTTGTGTAGACATTGATTCTTTTCCTGTGGCTGAATTTCATTACCTGAATTCCCTGGTCATCCTCTCACTCCATGATGGCTGAGCATCAAAATGCAGATGATGTGACAGATGGCGTGAGAAGTCGTAAGACAACAGAGAAGGGAGCTCAGTATCAACTCGGTGTAAAACAAAAGGTGTACAAGAGAGCATTGAGTGCAGTAAGGTCCAGTGGTCAGAGGTTGATTGAAGTTATGTCTGCAAATGAAGACATAGGATGTGTCAAAGCTGAGCTCGAGAACTGGCTGAAGCTGTGTCAGGAGCTGACGTCATCTGATCACGAGTTAAGGTCCCTGCTTCCAGATGATGAGATCGATTACCATGTGAGTAGGCATTTGAGTCAGCTTGATGACAATGATGCCATGAAGGCAAAGGTGTTGAAGTATCTTGCGGACATCAAGCCCGAAGAAATGCCTGCTGATGGTGTTGAGCCTCAAGATAGTGCCTCAAACCTCTTTGTGACGTCGAGAACTGCTCTGTCTAGAGTCAGTCAACATTCAGATGGGGGAAGCTCGACGTTGAGCTCCGCCAAGCTGAAGGAGAGACAAAAGCAAGCAGAACTAGCAGCAAGAGCAGCTGTTATCAAGAAAAGCCAAGAAATGAACAAGAGGAAACTGGAACTGCAGTGTGAGGAGGAAGACATGAAGTTGATGACAGAGTTTGCTGTCAGCCAAGCAAGGGAAAGAGCCATTGATGATTTTGAAAGAGATATGAATGACACCACCAGAAACCAAGATGCATTCCAAGCAACGACAGCAAGACGCATGTCCCAGTTGATGCTGGACCTGCCACCCCAAGATGCTGCCCCAAGAACCCGAGTCCCACAGACAAGTCAGCAGCAAAGGCCAGCGTCAAATGTCCATGCTCCACAGACAAGTGAACAGGAGCAGAGCATGGATGTTATCCAGGGCCTTGTAAATCTGTTGCAGCGTGAAGTAAAGCAGAGCCACCTTCCTGCTCTGGAACCGGACGTGTTCTATGGTGATGTGGCAAAGTTTGAGTTGTGGCTCAAGTCATTCGAAACATACATAGAAGCCAAGACCAGCTCTCCAATCGAAAGACTGCATTACCTGGGTAAATACACTGAAGGTGAAGCGAAGGCGGCAATTCTTGGATTCATCCAGCTGCGGACAGAAGATGCTTACCAAGAGGCAAAGAACAGACTCAATGACAGATATGGAAACGAGTTTGTACGAGCAGCTGCATACAAACGACGGATCCGAAACTGGCCAAATATCAAGAGTGGAGATGGCAAGGCTCTGAGAGAGTTTGCAGACTTTCTTCAGCAGTGTGATGCCTTGTCAAGGACGTCTGGGCACTTGAAGGTGTTGGACGACCAGCATGAAAACAGCTACATGTTGAGGAAGCTGCCCAAACATGTGGTTGATCGTTGGAGAAGATATGTGGATCAGCGACTGTATGAGCCACAAGATGGTGAGCCAGCGGAATATCCTTTATTCAAGGAATTCGTGAAGTTCCTGGCAAAGGAAGCGAGAGTGGCCTGTGGTCCCGTCGAAGACTCTGCCAACAAAGAAGAGAAGGATGTGCGCAAAGACAGGAGAGTTGTAAGAGCGCTCCAGACGACTGCTGCACCAGCCTCAAAGAGGGACAGCCACAGTGTTGTCAGACCAGGGTGTGTGGTGTGCTCTGACCGCTCAGGTGTTTCAGTTGCTGCCGCTCACCCAGTGGCAGAGTGTGAACAGTTTACCAAGATGACCCTTGAAGAGAAGCAGGCTGCAGTGATGAAGTATGGACTCTGCAGAGGATGCTTGAGGCGTGGACATGTCTGGCGGTCCTGCCAAAGGAAGATGAAGTGTGAAACCTGTGGAAAAGGTCACCCCACTGCCCTTCATGATGACAAGTTTCCTGTTGCAGCACAGAGCAGGGCAATCAGCGAAACTCGGAGGGACCTCATTCAGCGCGGAGATGCTGAGACTCAGAGGAGGAGCAGTCGGCCTGAAGGAGCAACGGACCAGCTCCAAGCTACATCCCTGCGTGTGATGTCCGGAGTTGGAGATAAGAGACCAGGCTGCGTCCACTCAATGATCCTGCCTGTGTTCGTTCGTCACAGGGAGCACCCTGATGTCAAGGTTCTAACCTATGCTGTCCTTGACCCACAGTCTGACGCGTGCTTTGTGACAGGCGGCACTTGCGAGGCTCTCCAGATCCAGGGTCAGCCAGTCTCCCTGGAGCTGAAGACAGTCACGGGCCAGTCAGTTGTGTCCAGCTCAGTCGTTGATGACCTGGTGATTGAGCCTGTGCAGGGAGGTGACAGCATCGTCCTTCCTCAGTGCTATTCGCGTGAGGTGATTCCAGCAGAGCGTTCGTGCATCCCCAGAAGAGAGTCTGCCAGGAAGTGGTCTCACCTGGCGCCGATCGCAGATGAGATACCGCTGTACTACCCTGCAGCTGGAATCGGCCTTCTCGTCGGGATGAACTGCCCAAAAGCCGTGAAGCCCAGAGACGTCATCACAGGTGACGACAACGACCCGTGGGCTGTAAGGACCGTACTGGGATGGGGCATCGTGGGCCCTGTCTGTGACAGCGAGAACATCAATTCTGGATGCCAGTACATCGACGCAGGAAAAGGAACCCGCAGGCTGTGTCACTTCGCATTCAGGACTACAGCTCATGAGATGACTCCTCAGCAGCTTCACGAGATGTTTGAACAGGACTTTGTGGAGACAAGAGAGGAGAAACCACAGTCAGTTGAAGACAGGATGTTCCTGAAGATGATGTCCAAAGAGATCCATCAGAAAGAAGACGGGCACTACGAGATGCCGCTTCCGCTGAAGGGAGACGTCAGACTGCCGAACAACAGAGCTGCAGCAGTGCAGCGCCTCAAAGGACTCCGCTCGAAGCTAGTACGAAATGATGCATTCCGGCGTGACTACACAACGTTCATGGAAGCCACGATCGCCAATGGTCACGCTGAGAAGGTCCCAACAGATGAACAGCAGCTCAGCAATGGCAGGGTATGGTATTTGCCCCACCACGGCATATACCACCCGAAGAAGCCGGACAAAATCCGTGTCGTTTTTGACTGTAGCACCGAATTTGGTGGAGAGGTGCTGAACAGTCATCTATTGCAAGGACCCGACATGACGAACAGCCTCGCCGGAATCCTCTGTCGTTTTCGGATGAAACCGATCGCTCTTACATGTGATATCAGAGGCATGTTCAATCAGGTGGGGGTCAACAGAACCGATCGTAACTTCCTGAGGTTCCTCTGGTGGGAAAACGGTGACGTGCATCAGGAGCCCGAGGAGTACCGAATGACGACACATTTGTTCGGCGCAAGATCTTCACCAGCATGTGCTATGTTCGCCCTCAGAACAGCAGCCGACAGCTACGCAGATGAAAGTGGAAAAGAAGCTGCCGACTTCGTAAGAAGAAACTTTTACATCGACGACGGTCTCACGTCCGTAGATGACGAAGACACAGCTGTGCGCCTCATCGACGCGACTCGCCAGTTGTGTAAGCAGGGTGGATTTGAACTACACAAGCTGTCGTCTAACAGCGTTGAAGTCCTGAAATCTGTGCCGCCAGAGAGCCGCTGCTCTACTACGCAGAGTCTGGAAGCCGGAGCGGGCAGGCTGCCCATCCAGCGAGCTCTTGGCATAGAGTGGGACACAGAAAACGACGTACTTCAGTTCAGTGTGAAGCCCAACGATAAACCACCAACTAGAAGGGGGATGCTGTCTGTGGTTAGCTCCATATTTGACCCCCTCGGCTTCATCTCTCCATTTATTCTGAGAGGCAAGCAGATTCTAAAGGAGTTGTGCCGTGATGGTCTCGGCTGGGACGACCCAGTCCCAGAGACTCTGCTGATGCGCTGGAATGAATGGATGTCAGAGCTGGAGACCCTGTCAACCTTGAAAATTCGAAGATGTTACACACCGATGGACTTCGGAGCCCTGCAACAAGTGGAACTGCACCACTTCTCCGATGCCAGCACGCACGGATACGGTCAGTGCAGTTACCTCCGCCTCATAGACGACCAGAACAGAGTCAGCTGTAGACTTGTGATGAGTAAGGCCAGGGTGACTCCTTCCAAACCCGTTACAGTCCCTCGCCTCGAGCTCACCGCAGCACTGATTTCCGTTCAAGTGAGCAGCTTCCTTCAGAAAGAACTTGACCTCGGCAGTGTCGCCGAATTCTTCTGGACCGACAGCAAGGTGGCCATCGGCTACATCTCCAACGAGGCCAGACGCTTCCACGTGTTTGTGGGAAACCGAGTCCAACAGATTAGGGATCGTACAGAGCCCCGTCAATGGCGGTATGTCGAGTCCAAGATGAATCCTGCTGATCTCGCCTCAAGAGGCACGAGCGCCGCCGAGCTCAGAGACAGCACCTTGTGGTGGTCCGGACCACCATTCCTGAACAGTGTGAACCCACTGCCGGATCAGAAGGTGAGCCCAACTGTGGACCAGAGTGACCCTGAGGTGAAGCACGCCATTCGGCCAGTCGTTACGCTTCAGACTGCAGCATCAGAGACACGTCCCCGTGCCACCGTGACCGAGAGACTTCAGCGTTTCTCGACCTGGCACCGGGCCAAGAGAGCTGTTGCGCTATGTCTGAGGTACATGGACGTGCTGCAGGGACGGCGCCACTCAGTTGGACAACCACTGACGGTTGAAGACCTGCAAAGAGCAGAGACAGCGATGATAAGGGCTACGCAAGCTGAAGCGTTCCCAGAAGAGCTGAAAGTGTTGAAGAAAATGAAGAAGACTGATGAAGTGAAGATGAACGTCAAGAAGACCAGCAGGCTCGTGAGGTTGGATCCTTTCCTTGGAGCCGATGGATTGATTCATGTAGGCGGCAGGATCCGGAGGGCAGAACTACCAGTGACTGAGCTGCACCCAGTCATCCTCCCGCGAGCAAGTCACGTCACCTGCCTACTTGTCGACCACTGCCACCAGAGAACCCGCCACGCTGGCCGCGGGATGACCCTAGCGGAGATCCGCTCTGCAGGGTTCTGGGTAGTTGGAGCCAGAGGTGTAGTCTCGCGCCACATCCTGGCCTGTGTGACCTGCAAGAAGATCCGTGGATCTCCAGTGGAGCAGAAGATGGCTGACCTGCCGGAAGACCGCCTGAGCCCTGCCGAGCCGTTCACGCACAGTGCAGTGGACCTGTTCGGCCCGTTTTACATCAAGGAACGGCGGAGCGAGCTCAAACGATGGGGAGTTCTGTTCACTTGCATGGCATCAAGGGCTGTGCATATTGAGACGGCCAATTCCCTCACGACAGACTCCTTCTTGAATGCTTTCAGGAGGTTTGTCGGTAGACGCGGCCCAGTGAGAACGCTACGCTGCGACAGGGGCACAAATTTCGTCGGCGGGAAGAACGCGATGGAAGAAGCTTTGAAAGAAATGGACCACGAGAAAGTTCAAAGGGAGCTCCTGAAAGAGAACTGTGATCTCGTCGAGATGAAGATGAATGTGCCGTGCGCCAGCCACATGGGCGGCACGTGGGAGCGGATGATTCGCTCCGCAAGAGCTGCACTCAGCGCTGTACTGATCAGCCACGCCGGTCAGCTCGACGACGAGACGCTGAGAACAGTGATGGTGGAGGCTGAAGCAATCATGAACAGCCGTCCCATATCCTCTCCCGACATGACCCAAACTGACCTAGTAGAACCGCTAACACCTAACCAAATACTAACTCAAAAGACTAGACGAGTACTGCCCCTCCCTGGTAGATTCCAGTCAGCAGATGCTTACTCTCGCCAGCGCTGGCGTAGAGTCCAGCTAGTAGCAGACCGCTTCTGGTCAAGATGGAGGACGGAGCTCTTGTCTTCACTCCAAGAGCGCCGACGATGGAGGTCGGCGAGGCCCAACGTTCAACCGGGCGACGTCGTGCTCCTGATGGAGGAGTCTCCGAGAGGCAGCTGGCCTCTGGGCCGGATCGTCGAGGCCGTGCCCAGCCGTGACGGCCTGGTGAGGAAGGTGAAGGTTCGCTCCGGAGGCCGGGACCTGGAGCGACCTGTGCACGGCATCGTCGGCCTGACGCGCTGAGCGGCGTGGCCGCTGAGCGGCATGGCCGGCGCGGCAGAGACCGGGACCTGACCGTGGCGACTCTCAGCCCGGGCGCCGAGCGGGGTGAGATGTGATACAGACTCGGTGAATGGAGGACTCGAGCGCCGGATGTGGCCGTGCGATGACGGTCCAGGGTGGTGTCTCCATCTGCGGGTGGCCGTCGCTATCCGACATCTGACTGATCGGAGCCAGTGAGTGTACCTTTTCACCGGCAGGGAGTTGTGTCAGCCGAGACACGCACTCTGACGATCGGACTGTGGTGTTATGAGGAGCCACGCGCTGTGAGAACGCATTCCTAAGTGTTACGAGGAGCCACTCGTGTTGTGAAAGGTGCATTTTGAGTGTCATGGGGAGTCACACGTGCTGTGAGAAGTGCTCACCTAAGCGTTATGAGAAGTCATGAGTCATGCGCAGTCATATGCGTGGCGATAAGTGTGTGGGGGATGCTAGAGAAGTAAATTTTGTTTACCAAATTTAGAGGAGCCATGTAACCGCGAGTGTCGCGGGCCGTATATTTTGGTTGCCTCCTCCTCCGTCGGCGAAAGGCATTAGCGGCGCGGTGGAGGCAAAGAGTTCGGCCGCGTGGCGGCGTCACGAACGTTCCGCATTGTTTGGATGAATTGAAAGGCAGAAAGGCGCAAACGATGTAAGTTGGTTGAAATGATTAATTTTTGCTATGTACTGTGCAATGAGTTAATGGCTGACTTCATTCTAAACGATTTAACGACTGTTTCATACGATTTTCTGTTCGTTTCAGAATTTACGGCATAATACAGCTATGTCACAGAACCGCATTATTAGATGGCTGTAACTTTCTTTCACCTTTTCAGACAGACACCTTTATCTTTCAGACACCTTCCCGGCCTCTCTACTTTTACTCTCCCCTTATCTCATTTACCGTTACTCTCCTCCCTTTATCTCTGCGCGCTCATTTACCGCTGCCCTCCCTCCTCCTCCCCTCCTCTCTCTCTGCCGGCGGTGCACCTCTGTTGACTCACCGCCCCGTTCTCTCTCTCTCTCTCTCTCTCTCTCTCTCTCTCTCTCTCTCTCTCTCTCTCTCTCTCTCTCTCTCTCTCTCTCTCTCTCTCTCTCTCTCTCTCTCTCTCTCTCTCTCTCTCTCTCTCTCTCTCTCTCTCTCTCTCTCTCTCTCTCTCTCTCTCTCTCTCTCTCTCTCTCTCTCTCTCTCTCTCTCTCTCTCTCTCTCTCTCTCTCTCTCTCTCTCTCTCTCTCTCTCTCTCTCTCTCTCTCTCTCTCTCTCTCTCTCTCTCTCTCTCTCTCTCTCTCTCTCTCTCTCTCTCTCTCTCTCTCTCTCTCTCTCTCTCTCTCTCTCTCTCTCTCTCTCTCTCTCTCTCTCTCTCTCTCTCTCTCTCACCCTCCCTACTCTTCCCTCCGAAGGTGCACCGCTGTTGACTCTGCGCACTGTCCCGTGACGTCAGCTCAGAGCCGTCACCGAGTCGACCAGCTGGGCTCCGGAGTCGGCCGGCGCGGCTGACCCACATCGGACGGGTCACACCGCCTGACCGACCCGGCCGCGGAGGTGCAGGGGAGCCGCCGACGGCCCGACAGGGGCCGGGAGGGGAGGGAGGGAGGGTGTCTGATTACCGGCTGCAGAGAGCCGGCCGCCGCGGCTCAAATGACCTCGGAGGATCAATTAGTTACGTGTCAAATTATCGGAGTCAAATAACATGACTTCTCTCTGCCTCTGCTCAGCTCTACTGTCTCTATTCTCTTCTCTTCTCCTCTCCTCTCCTCTCCTCTCCTCTCCTCCGTGCCGGGCGATAAGCACCGGACGTCCCCGAGATGCCGTTAGAATTACCACCGGCACCTATCCGGAGCCGCCACCTGGTAATCCTGCCATCCAACAGCTGTCGATCCCAACCAGCAGCTCCCTGCTCTACTACTGCCCACACCGCCGCGCCGGCTAAAGACTCGCGGGGACGCCGAGCCGTTAGGAGCGTTGACGCGGGCGCAGCACACGAGTACTCAGGCGACAGAAGCAGAAACGGACCGTGAACGGAGGCATTTGGCAGCACATGTGTGACGCCTCGTGCATCACTAAATCACCACAGCCGTCAGAGTGCAGTCTATAATTATCGGCGGGGTGCACAACTCACTACGCGCAACAGTTTAGCAGACGTAAACGGGACACGCGTGCGTGCACTAAAAATGAAATAACGTCTTCTTCAAGCTATAGTGTATTCTTCAGCTTGACTGATGTTCTTCTCGCTTATATAGGCCATGTGAACTGAAGCAGAAAACACTGATGCATTATGCAACACACCAATGCAGAATATTACGGTAACGTATCGACGCGATATCTGAATAGGTCAGCGGCCGTCAAGACGCTGTAATGAGTCCCGGCCGGTCCCACTGCGGGCGCGGGGCTGCCCCCGGCGAGGTTCTGCCCTTCGTCACTCTCATTAGGGGGCGCCGGCTGTCGCGGCGGGTCGTCCGTCCGGCCCAGTGACCCGACGACCCTGCAGAGGCCGTGGGAAGGGGTCGTCCTGCCGCCCCGCGGCCCGAGCAGCGCTCTGCCAACTGGGGCGGAACATACAGCCGCCGCCCGTGACACCGGGGCAATTAGTCGTGTCAGGTCAATGGCGGGCTTACAGGGCAGCGTCGTAAAGAGGCTACCGACAAAAGCGCAAATTAAGCCTGCTTCTAGTCAGCAGTGAAGTGTCTGAAGCTTGCACGGCGCTCGGCCGCGGCGGCAGTCGGAGCAAAGTGAACAGATGATTCTTATTTATTTCGTCTAGTCGGACCCTGTCCCTGCCGCCCTCCGACCGCCTAATTAGCGTGTTTGGCACCGCTGAGGAAACACAAGCGCCGCAAGGAAGAGAAAGTCGAGCGATGAAGAATTCGAAGAAAGTAAAGGTATCGATAGTCCGAGAATAGAGCCCGGGATTCCATGAATATATTACGGGGCTGCTGTGTGGAACAACACGTTCCAACTCTGAGCTGGACGTCCGGTAAATGGAGCACCATGCGGGATAACATTTACCTTACAGCGGTACTTCACTATTTCACTACGAACTGAACCTATAAATCAAGATAGAGCGTACGGCTATGAAAGGTGCATCACAGGCACGGTCCAGAATACACTAGAACAATCGAGGGAGCATTTACATTAGCATATACAGAAGATTCATCCACACGAGATGCAGCCGTTTCGAGGGCACTATCGATTCTGAGTGAAGATGAAAACGGCTCTGGTAACAGGCGCGTCCAATTCTCAGGACATTGCGCCGACCAGAGAGCGTTTCTCAGATTCAGAGCCTCACAACATAAATCTGAAGTTAACGAAACGCTTTCCCGTCGCCGCCGGTTTTCGGTTCACCTCCAATGGCTGCGTCCCCGCGCGCTCCGACCGACCGGTTTCTCCGCGGCTCGCCGGGAAACTCACCTCCAGATCGGAGCGGCGACTCTTGGAGAGTTTGCCCATGACTGGCGTCGTGGCGGGTGCTCGGAGTGAGTCACAGTCCAGTCACCTCCTCAGTCAACACTTCTGACCCGCTGAACTCACATGGTCCGCCCGCGAACACGGCGCGACAGGCACTCGACGACGAACCGGCGGCCACTAGCGCGGCGGAGGTCAGGAGCAGTCGCGAAACGATGCGCCAGGGAAGGTCACGTGCGCACAACTTCAGATCTGATGATTTGTAGAACAGCAAGTGTCTATGCGCTTTCGATTACGTCTATGATGTCTTGAAAGCCTCGCATTGACACTGTTGCCTATGCTTGTTTGTGACAACTGCAGGTAACATACGTGATCGGTTAGAGCCCGGAGAGTTTTGACAAGTGTGCGGTGCTGCAGCCGTGTACCGTCTCCGTTAAAAACACGATGTTTGTCACCGGACAGCCTTGACAGACTACAGAGACAATACGAACAATGATACAGTACAAGACAACTGCCAAAACGATTGCACAGGAAAATGCACGCCCTCACACAGCACGCTCATACCAGTACCAGCATAATAACAGTGCCTAAGCATAGTATACATACATACTACATAATGTATGCTGCAATGCATATTTTCAAGTCGGCACGATGCAATGTCTTGTGATAGTCAAAGGCAAAGCAAGTAAAATCATAAAAGTTCTGCTAGGCATAAAGTGCCCGTTATCATAAAGTGCCGAATTTTGTAATTTGTTTCTAGAGAAGAACAATGCTATTTTTTGTTCTTCTCTCCCTCCCCCAACACTAAAATTCGATAAAGTTTGAGTGGCACCTGTGGACCAGGATGGACATTACAGCTGGTAAAGGGTTACTGAACTCTTGGACAATCTCGGAAACCTCAGTACAGCACCTAAAGAAGGAAGAATTTCAACGGTTACTTTGTCACGGCCTCAATTAACCCAAATAGCCGCCGAAGACAATGTGAAATGTGTCACCGGCCACCGCAGGTTACCGCCCTAATAGTCGGCGAGAGGGGCACAAAAACGACCGAGACGGACTGGAAGGGGCCGGTGAGGAATGAGGAACAACTTAACCACGGTCCAGCGGTGCCGTATCCGGGAGCCCGCGCCGGGCGGCGCCGTAATTTCCTGGGAGCAAAGGGCGCCTTTCAGCGGGCCTCTTTTCACCGGGTGCGTGGCTGCCGTCCTAACGGCACGGCACCAATCCGGGTCAGAGTATTGGAGTGGAGTAACAATGGTGTGGGGAGAAGGACGGCGGAGAATCAGGGGCGGGACGGACGGGTTACGAGCATGAAACGAGAGGGAAGACGGAACTCGACAGAGACGGGACGGGACGGGACGGAGACAGGACGGAGACGGGACGGAGACGGGACGGAGACGGGACGGAGACGGGACAGAGTCGCTCACTACTTAGGTAATACTTTATACCGCAAGACGGTCAGTTTTGACACGCCGTCGCTCATCCTCTTCCACCCCGACAAGGCCAGACCGGAAGGGCGCCAGTGACGACCGGTAATGCCAGGTGGTGGTAGCGGAAATACGCCCCCTCCCCCTACCCCCGGAATCCATCGTGATGAGCACCTGGCCGAGGGCCGAAATGGCCACAACATTTAAACAGCGGCGCTAGATAATTAACAACACTGACCATGGAGTTATAGGAAAACACGCTGCATTAGTCAGCTACTGCGCTAATCCCCAGGCCGGGAAAAACACCTCCAATGTTCTTCGGGAGTTAAAGATTCAGTAGCTACGTAAAACCTTGCTTAGCATACAATGAAAATGCTGGTCGATCAACATTTGCAATGAGGTCTCGCTGGCAGCACGTTTTCAAGTATGTCAGGGTGCCGTATTTGTCCGTGCCCACCTCGGCCTGGCCGTACCGGCTGCTCTAAATTCGAGGTCAGCCCGGAGCTGCCAGCAGATCGGCCTGCTCCGGAGGTGGTAACCGGTGGCACCCGTCGCCGCCGGTTTTTGCACGTGACTGCCGCTGCGGCCGGCTGTGCGGGCTGCGCTGCGGTGCGGACTGCACTGCTGTCGCTGCGGCACGGGGTGCTGTGGGTGGTGGCCCGTCCGGCCGCTAACGGTGCCGCCGGCCGCGCGGCAGGTCGGCCGGCCACGCGCTCCCCGCCGCACAGCGGCCCACAGAGTGGTCTGACGGCTCTGAGTCGGCCGGCCGGTCAGCGGGTCGGACGGACCGGCCCCGAGTGGGTCACCAGAGTCGTCACTGGGTATACCGGACGACCGGGTCACAACCACCGACCGCCGACCGACCGGGCAGACCGGATGTTGAGCGCCCGCCCACGACCAATATGTGGAGCAGAGGCTGTCTGTGGGGCCGCACTATGGTCACCCACGGCTGATGTATGGAGCAG